CAGGGGCTCTTCGTGGACATCAGTCTCCTAGTGGCCAGGCCAGCCTGGAACGACAGCTGGGCAAGACGCTCCTGCGGATGGGGGGACGGCATACTGGTGGTGCCCGACGGGTCCTTTGTCTTCACCGACGGCTCGTGCCTGAACGGGGACTTCCCGCACGTCAGGAGCGCTGACTGGGCGGTCATCGTCTATGGGCCAGATGGGAGGCTCATCGCCGAGGCGTGGGGCGCCGTGCCCCCCAACGACCTCCCGTCGCAGACTGCCAAGGCAGGAGAAGACCACGCAGCAGCCATCGGCCTCGCTGACATCATAGGGAACTACACGCTGCTCAGTGACTGCTTGAGCACGGTGAAGGCTGCTTCCAACCTGGCCAAGGCCTGCGGCCCCAGCTCCCTGCACGCCCATGTTTGGGCCAGGGTGGGGGATGCGGCGGAGGGAGTCACCATTCGCCATGTGCCCGCCCACCGCTCGGAGGCCGCGGTGCAGGACGGGGAGCTCACCCTTTTCGAGCTCGTGGGCAACAGGAGAGCCGACACCAGGGCAAAGGAAGGTGCGGCCTTCCACGCCATTGCGGAGCATGACGCCCTGATGCTCGAGGGCTGCCTAGCTAGAGCGAAGGAGGTGGCCAGATGCGCGGCGGACCTTGAAGTGCACATCACGGAGTCGGGGCACAGGGATTCCTGGCCGCTCACCTCCCTGGACCTCGTGGACCTGGACCCATTCGCTCCGTCGCCTGACTGGGAGCAGCTGCTGGAGGCCGAGAACTCGGCTGCCCGCGCCCCTGGCGGTCTGGCGGCCCTTGGGGCGGCAGCAGGGCTCGTGACGGCAGCGGCGGCTTGCCAAGGAGACCAGGCCCAGGACCAGGTAGACAAGCAGGCCCGCAAGAGGAAATGATTATGTGAGGGGCAGGCAGGGCCCAGTGAATCCGTAGCTGATGCGTCGAGCGCGTCGGCGGCCTTGCTTCGCGCTTTCCAGCGCCGCCGCGCCGAGAAGGAAGAGCAGGCAGCGACCTCTGCCGCGGGCGCACAGGGCCCGCCCCTGTCGGCAGTGTCGCAGTCTCTCCCCTTCTTCCCCGTTTGGGCCGCGGTCAGGCCTCGGGGTGCCCCCTCGGGTCCTGCTGGGCAGGGGAGGACGCCAGGGGCCCTGAGGGCGAGCCCCGTCGGGCCGAGTTCAGGGGACTCGGTTTTGAGTAATTCGAGTGCGGTCCTGCCCCAGGACGTCCCTGTCGAGACGGGAGTTTGGGTTGTCAATGGACACAGTCTGCGTGAATCCCGAGTTTCGGGCGGGGATGGCCCCGAGTTTTTGGTTTGTGTGGTGTGCTGGATGTACTGCCTGAAACCCCAGTACTGCCACAGTTGCCTAGCCAAGGCCTGTGTCGGGGCCCAGAGCGCCGACGACCCCAGGGCCAAAAAGGGCTCCAGGGCGCAGGCGAGACATGATTTCGCGAAGTCGATCCTGCCTGGAAAATCCAAGCAGCCGGTCGACCAGCTGGCTCGGCCCACAGCGGCCACCCGTGCCAGGTGGGCCGAGGCGCTCGGCACGGTCGCGGGCCCAGACGCCGTGGAGGACCCTGCGGCCACTGCAAGCTCTAGAGCCCCCGCCGCGGAGCCCCCAGTGCTGCGGGATCGGGCACCCGCCCCGCCTGCCCTGGGGAGGCTGGTCCGCCCAGGTCTCGAGGGAGCCCTGGGCTCCTTTGGCTTTGCCAGCGCTGCTGAGGCTCAGGAGCGTGGCAGGGCTTCCCGAGCGGCCAGTGCGTCGGACCCCAGGCCTGTGGTCGGGCGGAGCGCGGAGTGACGGTCGCGCTTCAGGGTCTGGGCCTGGTCGGCTGCGGGCCCGTGCATGCGCTGTTTGCGGGGCCGTAAGTCGGCGGTCGAATTTGGCTGTGCGTGACAAGCCCCAGGGTGATAGAATGAAAAAAAAAAAAAAAGAAACGCCCCCGCCGTCGTGGAAAGGACTCGCCATCCACTCGCGCAGCTGGGGGCAATTTGGAAACCGAGCGTGCGCGGCGCCAGGGCGAAGGCCCCTTTATGAAAGCGCCCTGCCCTCTATCTGTTCTCTGGTCGTGTAAGACGACCTTGTGCGGCGCCAGCACAGCGAGAGCCCCATTGTGGAAGCCGCTTGTGTTCCATGCGTCAACGCGATCTAAACTCATATGCTCGTTGAGGCCTCCTGCGACGACGAGGACGACGAAGAGAAGGATGTACGTGCTGTTGCTGCTGGTGGCGACGGCGAGCCTGTGATCGCTTGGGGAGGGACTGTAGCGTCTGGGAGCGCCTGGGAACGTCTTGGAGCGTCTGGCAGCGTCTGGGGCAGCCAGGGGAGCGCCTGGGTCCCAGATCGGAGTCGGCGATGGGTGCCCGAAACGTATCGGTTTGTCATGTATTGGTTATCGAGGTTGTGATTTGTTCGGCTCTTTGTGCCCGGGGATCCTTCGGGGCCAGGGGGCATGTCGATGTAGAATATCAGCGGATGCGCACCGAACCTATTTGTGCATAGGGTGTGGGGGTTCGTTCGTATGCATGTGCACCGAGTTGTATTTCTGTTGCATAAGGTGGCGAAAGCAGGGTCGGGTGGACGTGCGCCGAATAACATCTTACATTGGGCAATGGAAATTGGGACGTATGGGTGTTCACATAATGATTTATTTCGCGTCGTATGGTGAGGGTTGGGTCGGATGGGTGCGCACTGCATAGTTTCATGCATCGAATGACAAGGGTTGGGTCGTGGGCACGCGCCTGCCAATAGGTGCTTCGTCAGGACGGTGCGGGTTAGGTCGCACGGACATGACCAACATTTATGTTTTAATCGGACGGTGAGCCTTGGGCTGGATGGATGTTCGCCGAGTTGCATTTTTGCATAACATGGTGAATGCCGAATCGTGTGGATGTGCGTGGCGTTTATACGAGAATCATATGTTGGGTAGGAGCAGGCCTCCACCATTGAAGGTGCTGCATGCTTTTACGATGAGCGTGGGCGGCGCGAAATGCGAAAACCATCGTTTGAAACCGTACCGGCCTCCATCCCTGAATGTGTTGTAAATGATGCAAACGAATGTGCGCGACGCAGAGGCGTCAGTCACTTGTTGAAAGCAACCTGGGCTACATCTTTGAATATCATGGAAAGTGCAGACTGCAGGATCAAAATTGGCGACGAAGTCTCAAACGAAACGCTTGGCCCGGTCTACGGACACGTCTGGCGGTGCGACGGGGAGCAATTCGATATGTATATGGAAAAGGAAGGGGGAATGGTGGGGAGGAGGAGGAGGAGGAGGAGGAGGAGGAGGAGAAGGAGGAGGAAGAGGGGGAGGAAACGGAGGAGATGGAGGAGGAGAAGGAGGAAGATGAGGAGGAGGAAAAGGAGGATGAGGAGGAGGAGGAGGAAGAGGAGGAGGGAGAAGAGGAGGAGGAGGAGGAAGAGGAGGAGGAGGAGGAGGAGGACCGCTGGCGCGCCGACGGCGTCACGCTGCTGGGGGTCCCGCTCGGGGGGCCACTGGCCAGGCAACCTTCCGGGCGAGAGCGACGCGCGCCGGCTGGAGCTGGGCAGCGACGCCTACGCCGCGGCGCGCTGCTCCGAAACGGCCGAGAGAGGGGCGGCGCTGCTGCAGAAGCCCGCACAGCTCCCTACGCTGGCCTCACCGCACCTCCCTGCGACGCAGTCGGCGGGGCTCCTCCTCCGGCACTGCGGCACGGGCAAGCTGACGCATATGATTCGGGCCCACCCGCCAGCCTGCTCCCAGGGCGCGGCCGCAGCCTGCGACGCCGCGTTCCTCGAGGCCTACCAGGAGTTGGCGCGGCTGGACTTCGCTGGCACTGGAGCAGCGCGCGCCTGCCGCTCCAGCTGGGCGGCCGCGGGCCGAGGCTTCCGCAGCCAGGACGGGCTCGCGCCTGCTGCCTGGGGTGCCTCCTGGGCGCAGAGCCTCGCGGGCGTCCAGCAGCGCACGGGGCCAGCGGAACTGGACGACCTCGACCTCCGGCTTGCCTCTCGCTGCAGCTTGCTGGGAGGCGCTGACTGGTCTGCTGCCGGCTCTGGAGGAGAGACCGCTGCTCCCTCGACGGCAAGTCGCCCAACAGCCTCAGGACAAGCTCCAGAGGAGACTCACGCACAGACGGGACTCAACAAATTCACAGCCTTGCTGCGCTCCCTGGACGCTGGGGGGCGGGCGCTGCTCCGCTCCTGCGGGGGGTCGCACGCTGGGGCCTGGCAGCTGGCGAACGGCGGGCCGGGCCAGCGACTGGACGACGCGGGCCGCCGCGCCACCGCCCAGGAAACGGGCTGGGGCGGCGGTCGTCGTGATGGCGTTCATCTTCGTCGCGCCCTCGGCGGCGGACAGGGATCGGCGCGCGCGCGTGTGCTTATAGACCTGTCTTCGGCTTGCAGGAGGAGGAGGAGGAGGAGGAGGAGGAGGAGGAGGAGGGAGGAGGAGGAGGAGGAGAGGAGGAGGAGGGGAGGAGGGAGGAGGAGGAGGAGGAGGAGAGAGAGGAGAGGAGGAGGAGGAGGAGGAGGGAGGAGGAGGAGGCGGCGGCGGGCACGTAGCACCCCGCGCGGATACGAGCGAGGGGGCGGCGGGGTCGTCTGCACTCTGCGAAGCCAGGTGCCAATGTGTCAACAACTTGCACAACGAGCTTGCCGGAGGCCCCGACTTCTTCATCAGAGCAACGTGGGTGGGTCGCGGGTGGGTCGCGGGTGGGTCGCAGGGTGGGTCGCGGGGTGGGTCGCGGGGTGGTCGCGGAATGGGTCGTGGGTGGATCGCGGGCGGGTCGCGGGCGAGGACGACAACAACGCAACAACGCAACGCAACAAAACAACAATGCGCTCCGCGGAAACCCTTTCCAGCCACGCACAAACGGACAGTGAGTGACCGCTCGGCTTCGTCGTATATAAAAATGGCTAGAAAGCAGCTTCTCCCAGCTTGCCGCACGCGTTCGACAGAATAAAAAAAGCGAGGGGGAGGAGGTGGGGGATAATAATATGTTGAAGTCGCCGCAATGGACCTCCCTGAGGACCTGCGCGCTGGCAGGCCGTACCGGGCTGGCCGCGCCAAGCAGCCGCGCCCAGGGTGCCACCGTGGCCTCTGCGGCGGGCGCGAGGGTCTCGCTCGTCGCCCTCGTTGTCGTCGTCATCGTCGTCGTCGTCGTCGTCCCCCTCCTCCTCCTCCTCCTCCTCCTCCTCCTCCTCCTCCTCCTCCTCCTCCTCCTCCTCCTCCTCCTACTCGCCCTTTTCCTCCGTATCATCCTCCTTTTCCTCCTCCTCGACCCTCCTCCCCCTTGTGCCTTCTGGTCGGGTTCCTACTCCTCCCCCTCCTCCTCGCTCGTCGCCCTCATTGTCCTCGTCGTCGTCCACCTCTCCGTCGTCCTCCTCCTGCGCCCCTTCCCCCCTCATGCGTCCTCGTCGTCGTCGTCGTCAGCACCGTCGTCGTAGTCCTCGCTCGTCGTCGTCGTCGTCGTCGTTCTCCTCCTCCTCCTCCTCCTCCTCCTCCTCCTCCTCCTCCTCCTCCTCCTCCTCCTCCTCCTCCTCCCCCCTCCTCCTCCCCCTCCTCCTCCTCCTCCTCCCCCTCCTCCTCGTGTGACCCTTCGCCTCATCTAGTCCCCCCCGCCCTCCTCGTCCTTCCATTCTCCCCGGTCGCCCCGCTTCGAGGGCGGCCAAGGCCCCCGCCCGTTCCCCCCCTTGCCCCCCGCCCCCTGCCCGCGCGGGCACCAGCACAGTTCCCCCTGGCGCGCCTATTGCCCGCTGGTTTGCGGCTGCGTTGATGAGTACGATGACGATGCTGCTGCTGTTGCTGATGATGATGATGACGATGATGCTGATGCTGATGCTGATGCTGATGCTGATGGTGATGGTGATGGTGATGGTGATGGTGATGGTGATGATGCTGGTGCTGGTGCTGATGGAGGTGATGATGTTGATGCTGATTATGATGATGCTGCTGCTGATGATGATATTGATGCTGATGATTGTGATGCTGATGATGATGATGGTGGTGAGGATGATGCTGATGATGATGGTAATGATGATGATGCTGCTGATGCTGATGCTGATGCTGATTATGATGATGCTGCTGCTGATGTTGATGCTGATGCTGATGATTGTGATGATGATGGTGGTGATGATGATGATGATGATGGTGATGATGCCCTACGCTTCGGAATTAGAAGTCTAGGCTCGCTGGGCCTGCACAATCATCGGCAACAACTGCACAAGAGGGGGGGCAATTCCCCTGCTCAAAACTGTGATGACGGAGGTTGCAGCACAACAAACCGAGACGGAGACTGCGGGCCTCTTAGCCTCGGGGCATTACGGGACACTATGCACGATAGTAGCCAACAGGATTGACTAAAGACGGCTAACCAAGCTCTAAGCTAAATCCAAACACATCAAAATCGGTCACATCATCGAGCTCGCCCTCGACCCCCATTTCCTTCCCCCGGTCGGGGGGGGAAGGGGGAGGAGGAGGAGGAGGCAGGAGAGGGACAGAGGTCAAAGGAGCGAGACGAGCGAGATGAGCCTCAGTGTACCCCGCAGACCGATGGGGCAGGGGTCGGGTGAGGGCTCGCTTCTCTAGGATCTTTATTCTAGTTTTGTGCATGATAGCGGTCAAAGAAAAACGGTCCCTGGCTCTGCTGAGGTCGGCAGGGGGTGCAACTTGGCGGCATCAGCGGGAAGTTGATCAACTTCTTTATTACTTTCTTCGGCCATGGGCGAGACGGTTCCACGGTCCACACCGTCTTCTCCCTGGTGCGAGAACACGTGCTCGATCTGAAACATGTCGTTCTTGATCTCGAGCACTGTCGGAATTTGCTGCCAAACGTCGTGCCAGCTGACTGACGGTGGGGCTCCTCCGTCCAACAAATTCTGGAACTCTTTCACGCACTGCTCGTTGTCGCAGAAGATCCACATGTGCACTTCTGCCACGCGCACGAGGTGGAGCAATGCTGTTGCCTCCGCTCGTGCGCTGCCCTGGCGGGGACCAGCCAACTTCGCCGCAAAGTTGAGCCTGTATCGAGAGGCGACATACGTAGATAGCGTAGCCCGCCCGCGCGAGCGTTTTCTTGGACCCCACCCCAGCATTCCTCCTCTCGGCGCGAGGTGTTTCGCCTCCTGTGGCCCATCCCGTCTTCGGCTGGAGCAGGGACGAGGTCTCTTGGCAAGGTGTTGCACCCACGCGTGTTTGCTGGACGAAGGGTGCGTTTTGTTTTTGGCTCGACCTGGGAGAGGTCTACGCCTTCTCAGAGTCCAGGGTTCCTTTTGCTGATCGAGTGCGAGTCTGCATGTTTTGATGACCTTTCCTTTGTCAAAGCACAGCACACCTCCCTGATGAGGATTCGCAAGGCGCTCCCTCCCAGATGTGGACTCTGATGATGGGGCCTAAGTGTTGCGTATGTCGCTTCAGCCGTTACCCCTTTAGGGGGTGGTCGGTCCTGTTGCGCTGGCCTCTCATATGTGGTTTTCAGGTGTTTGCTCTGCCTGATATTTCAAGCAACAGATCCTCCTTCTCCTCCTTCTCTTCACCCTCCTCCTCTTCGTCTTCCTTCTCCAAATCATCGTTATCATCATCCTCATCCTCATCCTTCTCCTTCTTTCCCTGTTACTCCTCCTCCTCCTCCTCCATTTCTTCACCTTCTTCTACGCTCGTATCCATTTCTTCACCTTATATATATATATATATATATATAACTCGTCCCTGTCGCACCCCGAGGCCAGTTTTTCGGGTGGGCCTGGCGTTTCGCCTGAGACTTCCCCACTTTATTGTCCTGGAGCTTCAAACGTGACAGCAGTTTCACAGGTGGAGGGCGGGTGGTTTTCTGAATGTGGCTCTCGTCCTAACGCCGCGCACATTCGTTTTAAACGAATTACAAGAGTTTCACGGATTGAGGGCGGGTGGTTTTCAACATGTATTTCTCGCCTTAGCGCCGCTCACATTCGTCGTTTTAAAAATTTGCAAACGCTTCACGGATTGAGGGCGGGCGGTTTTCAATATGTGGTTCTCGCCTAAGCGCCGCGCACCTTTGTTTTAAAAGTTTGCAAGAGCTTCACGGATTGAGGGTGGCTCATTTTCAAAATGTGGCTCTCGCTTCAGCGCCGCGCACATTCGTTTTCAAACATTGCCAGAATTTCACAGATTGAGGGCGGTTCATTTTCAAACTTTGGCTCTCGCCTTAGCGTCGCTCACATTCGTTTTCAAAATTGCAAGAGTTCCACGGACTCCCATAATCAGCGAACCAGAAATTTTGCTTTGGAAGATTCAGGATTATGCGGGCGCAACAGTTATGTTGATTCGCTGTGTCGAAGTCTCAAGCATGGCGTTCTGGCACGATTCTGGATCGTCAAGATACAGCAGTCAGGTTGATACGTGGCGTTGAAATCCCGAGAACAATGTTTTGGCACGCCTCAGGATCTTCAAACAGTTGTCTTCCAACGAGGCAGTTCCGTCAATGGAAAAGAACCGTTGTAGGGGCCTATGAAGAGGGAGCTTGGAGGGAGGGTTAATTCCAACATCGTTGATGTCTCTTGGGTTTCCACTGGTCCTCCTCCTCCTCCTCCTCCTCCTCCTCCTCCTCCTCCTCCTCCTCTCCCTCCTCCTCCTCCTCCCCCTTCCCCCGCCCCCCCTACTCATCATCCTTTTCCTCCTCAAGATTGTTACGCGTGCGAGCGAACTGGAGAGCATAGGTGCGTGAGCCGCAACACGTTTGCGCGCGCCCCCTTTCCCTCGAGCAGCTCCGTCAGACCGCGCGTGGGCCTACGGCAGCCGCCCAAGGGCTGGCGGAACGATTCTCCTCCCTCGCTGCCGAGACCGTCCGCCCTGAAGCGTCGACCGCCGTCGCGCTCGCGATGCCGGCTGCTGGGCGGCGGAGGCGGAGGTGGAAGACACCTTCGGGCCCGGTGGCCACGGGGCGGAGCGCCACGGACCTGCTCTTGTCCGTGTCGGGTGCGGCGCTCGCGCGGATCCTGCCAGGGCCGCAGTCCCAAGCTCTCGGCATCCTGCCAGGGCCGCGCAGAGGTCGGCTCGAAGAGGGCGAAGAAGCGCTCCAGCACCTCGCGCGTGCTGCGCGTCAACTTCACCCGCGGACGGGCGACCCGTGCCCTCTCTCTCCCGGCCAGGGCCCCCACCACCCCCGGGCGCTCGTGATGGAGTGGCATCGGGCTGGGCCCCGGTCTCACTGATTTCCTGTGCGGGCCTGTGCTTCATGCAGCGCCTGCCTCCCAGTTTAGCTAGTCGGTGTTCGTTCTCGGGCGCCCTGTCTTCGGCTGTGTCATCCTCCTTCTCCTCCTCCCTGACCTTCAGCGAGGCCTTGCACTTGTTTTGGTTTTAGCTCGCGAGGTGAGGCCGAGTCTCTCGGAGCTCTGGCGCGTGAGCGCCGTCGGCTGATTGTGCCGCCCTCCGAGGACCTGGAACCGTAACTCTTCTAAGTTATTTTGTATGCGTGCGAATGTGGTGGCACATTTCCAGCCGTTGCCGAGCTCCTCCCTCCTCCTCCTCCTTCTCCTCCTTCTCCTTCTCCTCCTTATCATCATCGACACCACCACCACCACCATCATCATCATCATCATCATCATCATCATCATCATCATCATCATCATCATCATCATCATCATCATCATCATCATCAGCATCAGCATCAGCATCAGCATCAGCATCAGCATCAGCATCATCATCATCATCATCATCATCATCATCATCATCATCATCGTCATCGTCATCATCAGCATAATCATAATCGTCATCATCACCATCATCGTCATCATCATCATCAAAACCGACATCAATATCATCAGCATCAGCATCAGCATCACCATCATCATCACCACCGTTATCATTATCATCGTCATCATCATCAGCATCATCATCATCGTCATCAGTTTCATCATCATCATCATCATAATCATCATCATCATCATCATCATCATCATCATCATCATCATCATCAGCATCATCATCATCATGCTCATGCTCGTGCTCATGCTCCTCTTCCTCACCCTTTTCTTCTTCCTCCTCCTCCTCCTCCTCCTTCCCCTCCTCCTCCCCCTCCTTCTCCTCCTCCTCCTCCCCCTCCTCCTCCCCCTCCCCCTCCTCCTCCTCCTCCTCCTCCTCATCCTCCTCCTTCCTTTTTTCCTCCTCTGCCTCCTACAGAAGGTGGCGAGGGCGAGGGCCGCGCCAGCACGGCGTCGCTGGGGCGCGAGAAGCCCGCTGCGGCCCGGGGCGGCGCGCCTCTCGACGGGAGGCTGCTGGCCGGCTTGGAAGCCGGGGCGACCTCCTCCTCCTCGTCCTCCCCTTCCTTCCTCCTCCTCCTCCTCCTCCTCCTCCTCCTCCTCCTCCTCCTCCTCCTCCTCCTCCCCCTCCTCCTCCCCCTCCTCCTCCCCTCCTGACTCCTCCTCCTCCTCCTCCTCCTCCTCCTCCTTCTCCTCCTCCTCCTCCTCCTCCTCCTCCTCCTCCTCCTCCTCCTCCCTCCTCCCCCTCCTCCTCCTCCTCCCTCCCCCCTCTCCTCCTCCTCCTCCTCCTCCTCCCCCTCCTCCTCCTCCTCCTCCTCCTCCTCCTCCTCCTCCTCCTCCTCCTCCTCCTCCTCCTCCTCCCTCCTCCTCCTCCTCCTCCCTCCTCCTCCCCCTCCTGACTCCTCCTCCTCCTCCTCCTCCTCCTCCTCCTCCTCTCCTCCTCCTCCTCCTCCTCCTCCTCCTCCTCCTCCTCCTCCTCCTCCTCCCCCCCTCCTCCTCCCCTCTCCTGACTCCTCCTCCTCCTCCTCCTTCTCCTCCTCCTCCTCCTCCTCTTCTCCTTCGCCTTCCCAGCCCCGGCTTGGAAGCCGGGGCTTGGAAGGCGAAGTTTTTTGGTTCGAGGCTTTCAGGCTCGAGGCTCGATGTTTTCGGGCTCCAGGTTTTCGGGGTCCAGGTTCGAGGTTTTCTGGTTCGAGGCTGTCAGGCTGGCAGGGCTCGAGGTTTTCGGGCTTCAGGCTTTTTGGCATGCAGGTTCGAGGTTTCTGGTTCGAGGCTTTCGGGTTCGATGCTCGAGGTTTTCGGACTCCAGGTTTTCGGATTCGAGGTAGTCGAGCCTTTCTGGTTCGAGGTTTTTGTTTTCGAGGCTCGAAGGGCTCGAGGTTTTCGGGTTCGAGATTTGCGGGTTCAATGTTTTCGGGGTTTTCCGATTTGAGGTCTTCGGGTTCGAGGTCCAAGGTTTTCGGGTTCCAGGTTTTCGAGTTCGAGGTTCGACGTTTTCTGATTCGATGTCTTCGGTTTCGAGGTTCGAGGTTTCTCGGTTTCGAAGATCGAGGTTCAAGGTTTCTGGTTTCGACGGTTTCGGGTTCGAGGTTCGAGGTTTATCGGGCGTCTTCGTCGGTCTTCGGCGGTTTTCCAGTCTCGGGGTGCTCTCCAGCAGCTGCGCCTCGCCGAGAGTGTTCCGAGGGCGCCTGGGTCGTCCCGAACGGCAGCCAGAGACCCGACTCATGGCCCGAAAGCCATGCGCTCTAGGTGTCCCATTTTGTCCAAACTGGGCGTTATCGCCAAGTTTCGGGCCCTGTGATCCTTTTGGATCGACCCGTCTCGAAAAATGGCGCATACATTTTACCCGTCGGCTGCGAGGCAGATGTAAACTGCACAAGCGGTAAGCGATTCGGGGCAAACCAACGGCGAATTGGCCAGCATGAACAGGACAGAAGGAGACAGACAGAGCGCCCGCAGAGCAAGGGGGGAGGCAGGGGGCACTCATAAGTGGAAGACGCTTCCTTCCCGAGAGCGTTGGCGCGGCCAGCTGCGGCAGCGGGGGCCGTGACAGCGGCCGAGCCGCGGCGTCGGTGCATCCACGGGCGCTGCCGATGCCCAGTACGCGGAAATGCAAGTGCACGTACAGCGAAGCCGACCAGGTATGGGCCGACTGGGTATTGCAAGTGACGAGAATAACATTCCAGGTCTCAGACTGCCAACAGCAAGATTATGTGCCTGCTGGGTATAGGGCGGGGGCTTCGGCGAAGCGCGGGGTCACCACAACCAGGGGAAGCGGCACGCCAGGCCTGCAGCGACGGCGTTGGGGCGGCGCGTGAAGGGAGGGGGGGAAAGGCGCGGGGGAGGGGAAGGAAGGGCAACAGGGAGGAACGCCCCGCCTGAGGGGAACCCCAGCACGCGGGGCGACGGCGCCTGGCTGCCCAGCGCCAGCGCTGCTGCTGCCAGGCGGGTGTTACCAACGACGTGACGTTGGGCGCCTCGCACGCCACGTCAGGGAACAAGTGGCCAGGGCCGTTGGAGACCACGCGCCGCCTGGGGAGGGCAGCGCATGGTCGGTCGAGAGGCACCTGAGCGGCGACCGATGACAAAATCGTGGCCAAAGGCCGATGGAGGCCACGCGCCGTTTTGGTGGACAGCGCATGGCCAGTCCAGGGGCACCCAATTGGCGCAGTTACCTGGGAGTACAGAAGGGGGCTGGCCACTGTCCGCTGGCCCATGCGACCAGGCCCCAATGGAACGGCGGCGTATGGGTGGATCACAGCAGCTCGTGCTGGTGGACGAAGCAACGGAGGAAAGGGGGCGTGGTGCCGGCAGGGGTCGCAGGTGCCACCGCCACGCAAATCGCAGAACCTTTGCCAGACCGACCCAGGATGACCACTTATCTGCTGCATCCTCCTGACCCGGGCCACGAGGGCCCCATTCGAGCTGGGGAAGTCGAGCAGAACGTGCGTTGGGACATCCTCCAGACGCGCCCGCCACTTGCCCTGCTTCCTATAGTCCGAGGTGAACGAGTCCCATTGGACGCGGGTGTTTGGCAACGTCGTCCACGTGTTCTTGATGAATAGTAGGAGATGGCGCTGTGCAGGCAGAGGTGGTCCCCCTCACGAGCTGGCGCTGGAGTAGCCCGCGGTGCCAGAACCGTCTACGGCAATCGTCACAGGGGAGGAGCGAGGAGCCTCAGGGGCGGGCAGTGGGTTCACGTAGGGATGCTTCTCCACGATGAGCCACTCGCCGACTTGAGCCGTTGACTTGGCGGGCCGCAAAGACAGACACCACGCGCCGCCCCGATTGGCGGGCAGGGGACGTGCAGGGGCGCCGGGTCGGGGGGCGGCGGGCTGCGCGGGGGGGACATCGGGGAAGGTGCCGGGGAGGGAGCCACTAGAGACGTCGTCGCGAGGGGCGTCGGTCGGGGCGTCGTCGGGAGGGGTGTCGAGAGGAGTGCGGGGCTGGGCGCCGGCAGTGGCGTCGGCTGGGGCGTTGGGTCCAGGCTTGTCGGGCTCGGCTTCGTTGTCGTCAGCCGCCCAGCAGGGTCCGTTTGGCTGCTCGCCTTTGTACTGGTGTTCATCTGGCTGCTCACTCTCGTGCTGCTGGAGCCCAGCGTGTTGCGCAAAGTCGAGCTGTTGATATCCGTGTGAAAGAGCGTCTGCGTCATCCCTGGGTGAGGGCGTCGCAGGGTGCGGTAGACTGGCCCCTCCTTCTACACGGCGGTTTTGCAACAGTGGCTACTGCGCGTCTGAGGGGGTGGGGTCGTACCGTTCGCGGGTGCGTGGCAAAACGGAGGGCTAGACCTGTAGCCGTGGGACCTGGGACCTTCCCCGCTGCCTCCCATCAGCTCGAGCTCGTCCTGGGCTGGGATCCCAACGGGCGTCGCGAGCCGACGGTCCTGTGGCATGCCGCAGCCGTCCCTCTTCGCGTCAGCTTGCCAGCTCCCGTTGTCACCACAGCTGTCGGTGCCCCCACAGTCACAGGGTAGGATCACTTGTGCGCCAGATTTGGGTACAGCGGAACCTGGTGCCCTCTCCCCCCAGTAACCGCCCGTTACACTCTGGTCGGGACCATGTGGGGCCTCTCGATGAGGAGGTTGTTTAGGCCTCTTTCGGATGGGCCGTCGGTGCCAGGTGGAAGGCAACGGGCGGGGAACACGGTGGTAGCGTCGGGCGTCTCATTACTCCTTTCACCACTGATCGTGGCAGCTCCTTGTCCACTTGGGGGGGAGCTACCCGCGCCAGCTCTGGGTGGAGCCGACGTTGTCGGGGTCCTGCTGACCTCTCCTTGCCCCCCGTGGGTCGCACTGACATCTTGTCTAGGATCGCTGCCGTGGGCGGTGGGCTCAGCTCTAGGTCCGAGGCCCGCCCTTTCGTCGGACTCGGCTGGCGCAGCTCCAGACAGTCTGCCTTCGGGAGGGCACCCACTGCTCTCCCCACCCCGTGCATCCCCGCCTCCTCGCACTGATGTGGCGCGACACTAATCGTGGCAAGTTCTTGTGGAAAGTTGCAGCGTTCTCCCCGCAGCCCGCAGCAGCCGCTGGGTGGGGGCCGCTGGGTAGCAAGAAGAACATGCTGGGGTTCGCAATTGGGGGGGTCCCCGGGGGCAGGAGGGGCACAAGGTGAGTGGCCTCTGGGGCGTTCCCGGGCCCGTCCTGATGACAAGGGGACCTACCGGCCCAGACACTGGCGGCGTTGTCTGGGTGGGGGCCTCCAAGGTTATAGGGTTGCTCCGAAAGAGCGCTGAGTCTGTCGCCGCACTGCACTTTACATCCGCCTTGCGGTTGGGGGCACCCCTGAGGCCCAGCGCCCCCTACTCCCCGAGAGTCCAGCCGTGGCGACAAGGGCTCTCCGGGACGAGGGTGGGAACACACGCGCACACGCACGCAAGCCTGCACGCAAGCAACGTCGTCAACCCACTCCCCGTCTTCCACCTCCTGCTCGGCCGCCTCTCGGCACCGCGTCTCTCGGCACTGTCGCCTCGTTGTTTTGGCATGTGCTTTGTTTGTTTCTGGCTGGGGCCGGGGTTCAAAGCGTCCGACGGTGGGTCGGCCGGACTGGTGGCAACGTTGCCCTCTTCTTTCTGTCTGCGTCCGTTTCTCCGTTTGCCTTCTTCTTGCTCCTTCCTCTAGGTGCTGGTATGCCTGATAGCCTGACGTTCCTCATTTGCACTTGGTGGCGCAGTCCTGCTGCGGTGATCTGCCGTGCTCGTGATTCGGGTGTCTTCGGATGAACAAATCCTGCTCGGCCGCCACCACGTTCATGTAGTCCTTCACGTCCCCCTCGACGCCCTTGACGATTTCTCCTTCCACCTCCTCCGTGCCGGCGATTTTCACTTCCTGCATGCCCTAGTCCGAAGACAGCGGATCACGATAGGGGGGGTCCTCTGACTCCCTGGGGGTCCAGCCGTGGCGACGAGGGCTCTCCATGAAGAGCAGCGGCACTGGGTTCGATGGTGGGGCCCACGCGCAAAGCCTCGCTTCCGCGCTGTGACACGCCAGTGATCGTGGCAACTCCTTGCGTAGGTAAGG